AATTCTAGCCCCCAGAATTAGGAAAAAATAACAAATGGAGTTGGGCCCGACCTATATCAACCCGATCCGACTCTCAGGTATACTTCTGCATCTGGACTCGACATGTCCTGAAGTTGGACCCGAAGCCCCACTTGAGTCATGTTGACCTGATTCAATTGCTAATTAAAATTTAAAACAAGCAATTTTACATGGAATATTTTTCTCAAAACATGCATTTTATCGAAAATAGTTTTTTTCCTGACGATTCTTCTCAGTGATATAGTCAAAGCCTTAGACCACTTGTGTATATAAGCAATCATTGCCCTTCTATGGTCCTTTAACCATCTTATACTTTTCACATATCTAATCATCAAGCTAAGGGTTAAGGGGATTTTCTTGGAAAACATAAAAAACATGTGTTATGGACGGTCACAAGTTTGCGGATCACAAGTATCTCATTTTTGTAAAAAGAGTATATGTTTCCATGGGAACACTTGCATCTCGAACAAAAACTTAAAGAAAAGTTTATATAGAGCCGAGGCTCTAAGCAATCAAATTAGAGCCCACCTTAAAAATTTCACTAGAAGAGGTTGTTTTGATGCCCAAATTGATCATCTCAACATCAAGGTGCATGAACATGAGAAGAAAATAAATTTCAAGTTTTGGAATAGTGTATCTTGTAACGCATTTTTGGACCACCAATTTTTAAGATTTTCAAGTTTTCATATATCTGCTCGATCTACCCTTTTTTTGAAGCTTTAAATTTTATAATTAAAAATAAAAATATATTTTAAAGCTATCACAAACATTTCCAGTATTGAAACTACATTTCTCGACACTATTTGAAGGTGCGATTTACTTTAATTGTTTAGAGCCTCGGCTCTATACAAACCATACCCAAAACTTAATTATAAATATTTGTTTTGGAACCCGGAAGTAGTCTACTCATCCTAGTAACCAATCTAGACAAGATCCAAATCCAACACTAAAAGTATTTGAAACATATCATGTTCCAAAACTTAATCTGGACCATTCAATTTTTTTACTATGAGATATAGGTGGTTGAGGAAAATTTTATGTCAAACAAATCCTCCTAAGTGGGTTGTTTGAGTAAGTAGGTGCAAAATTTGCTCTCATAAGAGTATTGCATATATGCTCTCTATATATTATTTCTTCCCAACTAATCTGCTAAAAAGATTTGTGACACTCTGCAACCATTTAATACTGAAAATAAATGAGAAAACTAGAGTAATATATGAAAGATGAGAAATACACATTCTCAATTGACTTTGAATTAGATAAGGGAAAAATTTATATAGAGACGAGGCTCTAAACAATCAAATTTAAACCTACCTCAAAAATTTCATTAAAAAAGGTTGTTTTGATGCCCAAATATCTTCAAATTGATCATCTCGACATCAAAATGCATAGACATGAGAAAAAACAAATGGATTGCAATTTTTTAAAATAGTATATTTTGTAACGCATTTTTAGACCATCAATTTTCAATATTTTCAAGTTCTCATAGATATGTCGATCTCCACTATTTTTTAAGCTTTAAATATTATCAATAAATATGAAAATATATTTTAAAGCTAGCACAAAGATTTCCAATATTGAAACCACATTTCCCGACACTATTGGAAGGTAGGCTCTAATTTGATTGTTTAGAGCCTAGGCTCTATACAAACTGCACCCATAAGATAAAGCATGAGTAATGGGTCTTAACGTGTATAAAGAGATGAAGATATATTTGCATCGCGGTTCATTATAAATAGGGAAAAATGAATCCCATCTCACACATGGTCTATCTCATCTACTCTGAAAACGGTGGGGCAAAAATTTTAAATAATCTTAATCAAATCAATTAGAAAAAGGGAAAACTTTCTATACTTCCCCTACTATAAGTTATATACTTCTCACCAACCGGCCATACGATCTAAATGGACAGCTGAGATGGCCCCAATCAAAATATCATGCGTATACATTGTTTTATTTTTAATTGTTTTTTTCACAAAATATTTTGACATCATATTTTGGGCGACAACTCCTCTCTTGAACTCACACCTGCAAAATATACAAAAAAAACAAAAATATTCTTGATATTTTGATCATTTTATTTTTTCAAGATTTTTTTTTTTTTAGGCACGCCCCATTGAAATGATGGCATGTACCAAATTTCATATTTATATGAGTTGTAAATTAAAATAAAAAATAAATACTCTGCAACGTCATATCTAGATCAAGTGCTCAATAGCTGACTTGTGACATTTTATGGCAAATAATCTCAGCCATCCATTTAAATTGGATGGGTGAAAGGGGGGAAGTATATAGCTTGTATATCGTAGGGAAAGTAAAGAAAGCTTTCCTTTTGAAAAAAAGACTTGGAGCACAAAATGTGCTCTAAATTAATTCCCCAGCAATGCATTTGAAGGATCTAAAGCCTTGAGAGATTAATTTTTTCCTTTTTATTATTTATGTTGAAATTGCTTGCGAGCGCGCCGTGAACTAAAATATTTCTTCAACTCATCTATTCATATGAGTCCTCTCTCCAAAATCCATCCTAGAGATGGATCTTTTATCTAAAAACTTATGGATTGAGAATCTCAACATCAGTGAGCATGAATATAAAAAAGAAAATACTTTTTGAAAAACTAATATTTTGTGATGTATTATTAACACCGTTCATTTTGAGTTTAGGTGGGGATATCTTTTTTAATGTGTCAGGGACATACATGTAATGTATCTCTTGACACGTGAAACTAGTACCCTTAAAAAAAAAAAAGGACGTGGTGTCTATGACTCTATGTGGAAATGAGTCACCTCTTAAAAATCTATCTTTGAAATAGATTTTTTGACCTATTTTTAAGGATATATAATCTCTAACATGGAGATCATGAATATGAAAAATAAATAAATTTTAAAAATTTAAAATAATAATTCTGTTAAAAAAACATTTGGACCGTTAGTATCAATTGGTTTTAGATGGACAACTTATTTGCATCTATCTTTACTTATACTTAGGGGACTGCAAATGTAGAAATGCAGTCCCCGTCGCATGAAACAATTTTCCTAAAAAAAATCCCCTTATCTTGTTCGAAATTGTTATGTGATAGTATTGTATGTTATAAAACCATTCATTTTTTGTACAAAAAGTTCATAATCTATATGTGATGGTATTGTATGTTATAAGACCATTCATTTTTTGTACAAAAAGTTCATAATCTTTTTTAACCTTTGAAAGTAAAATTCAACTGACTAAAATATCATATATGTTGAACGTGGGACCACATTTGTATCGCTGTTACGGAAAAGCTTAACCTAAAATCTTGAAGGTAATGAACGCCATAGTACCGATATTCCTCACTCGTTTTTTTCGGGTGTGGTTTTTATAAGGTGTTGAACTTATAATATTGAAGGAAGGGGCACCAAAATTCACTAAAAAAAGTTGTTCCAGGCCACATACCCTTACGATAGTCAAACAAATCTATTTTAAGAAATGTGAAATTTAAAGCTTCAAATTGTGTAAATCAAGCAAATCTAAATGTACTTAAAAAACTTGAAGATGGTTAGTCAGTATAATGTGTTAGAAGATGCATTATATTTAGGATTTGAAATTTGTTTTTCTTTTAGATCCCAAAATATTGAAGTCAATATAATCAATTGTAGGGTTCTCAACATTAGAACAACTTTTTTAGGTGGATTGTTTTATGTGCACTTTACTTCTATAATATAAACACCACGTATAAACATTTCTCGTTTGTGATTTTTTCTTACACTCCTTATTTGGTCATCAACGGGCAATTATTGTTTTAACATTCTTGGATCATACGCTCCCATCAACATCAGAAAATTCATCTCTTTCTCTCTTCTTGAATTTCCATTTCTTTTTACCTCAAGGGATTGTATACAATGGGACCATTTACTTTTTATAAGGTGATCAAAATTATTTACAACCATACGATGTAAAATTTGATAGTTTGAATGCATCTCAAAGTTCAAAAAAAAAAATTTTGGAGTTTGAACTTGATCAATGGAATAATTGCAGCCACCAAATTTTACATCCAATGGTTAAGATTAATGTGACCATCATATAATAAAGGTAAATGGTCTCATTCTATATTTTCTCTTACTATAATGCTTGTCATAACACCATGAGTATTCACTTTTCCCTACTCTAACTTATGGTATTCACTTTTCCCTACTCTAACTTATGGTATTCACTTTTCCCTACTCTAACTTACACTAATGTATTGAGTGTTTAAGTAAAAAATTACCCAATGATCTCTTTCATGGCTGGTACTTGGTTGAGTTGTACTTTCAATCCTCCATGATGTGGCACAACTTCTTTATTCTAAAATTATAAAATTATGAGTTGTATTTTTCTTTTATTATTAATGAAATTCGGATAAGGGCCTTTTTCCCACTTACTACTCAAAAAAAAAAAAATTGGGGCCAGAGTTTATCCATAATCTAAAGAATATGAATGAGAAGTTGAGAGAACTCGCCCCATTTAATATTCGTCCAAAATTCTTTTGTGTACAGTTTGAAACCAGGAACAAGCAAAAGCCTAAAAAATGCGCATCAAAATATATATTAATAAAAACATCAACCCTTGACCTTGATCAGCCGCTGCATAATAAGCATGGCCAGGCCACACTACCCTTCTTATCACACATTTATTGGAAAAGAAATGCCTTCTCCCTGCTCAACTAAGAAGCCAATCACTTCACATGAGGACAAATGTATACGAGAGAGAGAGATGAGATAAGGAGCCACAACCAAAGAGCCAATTATATACTATGAGACTATTTATTTTTCATACAAGGAGATTCTAATTACTCCTAATTATTAGATATTAAATTGGATAACTAGCGATGGGTTACGAAGTTCGAGAAAAAAATTCTGAATTTTGAGTCTTGTGAATACCGTGCTCACAATCACTCGATTTGAAATCTTAAGAATAAAAATGATTGTGACCGCCTTGTACTAAAAATAAATAAAACTAAAAACAAAGAAGACTAGGCAGCCAACACCTCCCATATCAACTCTTGCTCTAGAGAAGGCATCTTTGCAAGAAAACAATCATCCTCCATGTCCCCCTCCCATGGTGAAGAAGAACATCCATACCCCTCCTCAGAGAGTCCATCCCCAGAGCCCATACCACTCTCCCTACAACCCAACTCATCGTCCCCAGTGACCCCTCTCTCTTTCTCTTCTCCCCTCCCTTTCCCTACCCGCCTCCAAACCGCCTGCAGTTTTGCATCCACTGCCGCCTCCACCTCTCTCATCCCCCTCCCACCTTTCTCCCTGCTCATTGGGAAATTCAGCTTCGCATACTCCCCCCTCAATTTATAAGCCGCTCTGTCATATGCCCTCGCCGCTTCCTCTGCAGTCAAGAACGTCCCGAGCCACACTCTCATTCGCCTCTGTGGCAGTCGAATTTCCGCCACCCACTTCCCCCACTGTCTCTGCCTCACCCCTCTATACACCTTCCTTGTTTTACAACTAGGACTGCTAACTCTAACACTATTCTCACTAGAAGGAGATCTTCTCTGGTATAAAGAACTAGTGCTAATACCAGGACAAATGCATCCACTTGTGGAATTGGAGTTAGTGCTTATGTTGGCACAAAAAGAGGGATAATTGTGAGGCAAGAGCTGGTTTATGCTCTCTCTTTCTGGTTGCTTTAGCCAATCTCTTTGGCAAAAGTAGATAGAGGAGCCTAATGGCATTAGACCATCAGCAGAGCTAAAGCCACCATTGTCTGCGAGGACGGAATCAAGAGCAGTTTGCCCGCCGCCACGAAGCAGAATGTCCGACAGGGTGATTGCCGGATTCCAGTCATCTCCTCTGGGAAATTGGAATAGAGAAAGAGCATTTGCTTCAAGACTTCCCGTCATTGATGCTGGAATTCTCAGAGGATTTGAGAATTAGGGTTAATTTTGAAGCAAATTAAGCAGAAATTTCGAGGCAGCCAGAAAAAATTCACTGCGAATTGGGATTTTAGACAATGTGCTAGAAGCTGAGATCTTAAAAATGCTCTTCTTCCTTTTGAATCACCAAGACTGTGAAGAAAAAAAAGAAGAAGCTGAAGGTGCTAAGAGCCAAAGAGTTGGGGCTCACCAAAATCTTTGAGCAAAACGGAGGCAGAACGAACTGAAATTAGAGAGATAAAGGGCGGTAAAAAAGTCGCCGGAGAACAGGGAGAAATACGCCGGAGAAGCTGAATTCCGGCGAGTAAGGAGGGAAGGTGAATTGAAAGAGAAAGAGAAAGAGAGAGAGAGAGAGAGAGAGAGAGAGAGAGAGAGATTTTTGAAGTTGTGAAGGCTCTCTTCTAAAAGCCTTTCCATTGCGCTGGCTCATGACTCCAATTTATAGTTCCCAAATATTTTACCTCTTTTGCTTTTCCTCATCAAATATCATTTACTTGCCACTCTTTTTTCCTGGAACCGTGACAGAGTAACCACCATTAAATTCACTTGAAAAGCTTCGTACCGGTCGGTTTCCGTCTCTTAGGAATCTGAGATGATAATTACCATATTGCCCTTCATTTCTCTTAATAATATTTTAATGACCATGACGCCCTTGCCATGAAAATACCATAATTGTCCCCACACAAGAACAGGAAAAAATTCGATTGCATCGAATAACTATAACAAAGCCAATTTGAATGGACCAGAAAAAAGTTGATGTGCGGTCGCTATAGAAAGTAAGGTGTCACACCTTATGCTGTACAAATAAGGTGCACCTAAAACACCTACTATATAAGATTATTCGGGTCATTTAGACGTCGAGGTTTATGGATATAAGAAAAGGTGTGGTTTTTATAAGGTTGCAATCTTAAACAATCCAATTATGGTGCACCTTTAAATTTTATCATAATATATAATTTTGAAGTTAAATAATCTTATGATTATCTCAAAATCTATTATTATATCTCATTATAAAATTTTAAATTTCAAAAGTGGCTAAAATCAATTAGATCTATAAACATATGGAAATTTTGAAAATAGATGGTGTAGACAATATGTTGTAAGA